TGTTTTTATTTGCTAAAACTGGCAACCCTAATTCTAAGAACAAATTAAAGAAAGCCCACACTACCTAAAAGTGAGATCTGCTGGCTGTCATGATTTAGATAGTACATATCCCATGGAGAGTATGTTTTAAAAATTAGGCATGATGAAGTAAAAGAACTGGTTGCCAGAAGATTTGGGTTATACCCCCGGAGGGCAGCTGCAGTGCAGTCAGATCTTGTTTGAATGACAGCTCTGCCACTTGCTGTGTCCCAGGCATTTTAGTTAATCACCCATTACTCCTACTCAGTTTCCCTACCTATGAAGTCCGAATAACACTCATTTCATGAAGAGGATGTGTGGATGAAATACGCTACTAAATAAATAAGCCTTTGTATAGTAGTTTTCTTTCTCTCACTTTTTCAGGTCACTGATTCTGAGACTTTGGGCCTGTTTCTAACTTGTAAGGACGAGGGGCCTGCACTTTAACAGTGGAGTAAGATAACAGGCTGCTATGGGGTTGAAAATGGACAATCAAGCAATGTTTTATGGAGAACAAACTTCAACGAGAAAACGAGGTTCGGGAACAGAACAACTGCAGAAGAGGAGGCAACAAGTAGATTCATTTAGTTGGCGTCGGTCAAGTCTGGCTAAACTAAGAAATCAGCTGTGGGAGTCACATCCATAATTTCCTTTATGTAAACAAAGAACGGGGCTGTGGAGAACCGGAATTTAGAAAGTAGCACATCTGAAAACACCTCGTTTCAGCGCCATAACAGAGTCGCCAAAATGGGGCTGCAATGGCTAAAGAGTGCAAAAAATATCCTTGTGCAAAACAAGGCAAATGGGAGCGCAGTGATGCTCCGAGGCTTCCTGTCCTCCCTCAGCTCCCGTTACCCACTCTGAGTCTGCCACCTCGGCGGTTCCCAGGTCCCTCCCTCCGGCTACGGACCGGGAACCCAGCACAGAGAGCCCGCACACCTTTTCCAGCTTCCCTACGAAGCAGACGGGCTGGTCGATGAACTGAGCTAGCATGCTGGCGTTGATACGCGACTTGGGCAACTCCATTACGTCCACCATGATTGCGGAACCAAAACCCCGGCAGGCGGGAAACAGACGGAGGACTGAAACTGCGAGCCCCGCGGGCGTCTATGGGGCAGATTTCCCCGGCACCAATCAGCGAAGACTAGCGCTTCCAGCCTCGCCAATCCAGTGCCTGGAAACCTACAGGTTCTCCCTCCGTCCCCGAAAGGGGTGGAGAACATGGAGGAATGCATCCGGAAGTGGGGATTGGCTGCTTAGTGACGCGTAGAGTCCCGGAAGATGCCCGGTTAGGCGTACCGGGCAATGGAGGCGGGGCTTTGATGGGGGCAGAACCCGAGGTTCCCCTCGGGCGGTCTCAGACTTCCCCGCGGCAACTTGACCCCGGAAGTGGGGTGTCGTGCTAGTGAGCGGGTGCAACGGGGGACTGCGGCGCGAGCCTCAGGTACCTCTTCTCGCGGGAGGCGCCGCAGCCTTACTGTTTTCCCTTTTCCCCTTCTCTCCGCGGACTGTCAAAAGAGCTTGGGGGGAGTTCAGAGCCAGATGCCTCCGCGGCGTTCTCGGTGCTGCGCACCGGCTGTCACCATTACCTCCCTTCCCCTCTTCCCGGTTCTGCGTGGGAGGCGCAGGATTTTTGTACAATGATATGTGGCGTTCGGGGGTTGGGGGGATTGACATCCGTCTTCCTGGAGATGGGGAGGGGGTCGTCAGTTATCTCCATCACTTTATTCAGGCTTTTGCCACTTGGTGGCAGAGGGTCGATTTACCTCCCAAGCTGCGTCACTTTACAGCCTCAGTTTCCCCAACTGTAAGAAGAGAGGTTGACTCGATTACCTCTACGACGCTTTTTAGTCCTGACAACCTGGCCACGTTGTAGAGGTGCCGGTCTTCTCACCCTCTCGGTGTTAGCAGCGAATAGAAGCATTTAGGGATGAGTGAGTGGGAAGGAGCACTGGGCAGGACCAGAGGAGACAAGCTTGAGTAGTTGTTAGGCCTGAAGCTAGTGTTTTTCCTTCTGAGGCACACTTTCCCCAAGCGCAAAAGGAGGAGTTAGAAGTATTTGCAAGGTTCTAGCTGACTTTAACTTTTGGTCATAAGGTAAAACAATCTTCTTAACCCCCTAGCAGTCTTTCCTCCATTGCTCTTCATACCCTAGGACTCTGGAGGGGAGATCTGGGGATCTGAAAGATAACCTATGGAGAATTGGGGGTATCCGTGAATCTGCCACTGGCTCATCGTGCCGCCCGAAGCTGGTGGCCTTGGTAGGGGTAGTCCAGGATGAGTGCATGTGAAAATATCTTCAAACGATGCTGCAAAAATTGGAAAAAAATTGAGTTTTATAATTTTATGGAAACTGAGTCTGTGAATTGGCCCAAAGCCACAGAAGTTGTCATGGTTCAAGCTGAAGCCTCCAATTTAGTCCCACAGTTGCCTTAAGCAAAAAAGTTTCGTTTTGAGACTTCATGTGGCAATTTAAGACTGAAATCTAACATACTATAATTAAATGTTAGCCTCAGTGTTTACTTAACACTTAATATGTTTGTCTTAATTTTGGTGTCTCTAACACTAGTTGAAAGGATTTCATTAAGCAGATGCAGGGTGTGTGTCAGTTGGTGTATAAAAAGTTGTGATTGTATTGTTGCAAGTCA